CTCATAATTTACCAACACTAAGTAAGTTGTGTTTAAGTCCATTAACTAAAAGCACACCTTATATGGAGGTTATGGACGGATTTCTCACCACACCTTCTCCAAATTTACCTTTTGTGTTGTCCCCTACCTAATTTGATCATTTTCTTTCTCATCAAACTTGATGTACATCGAAGCTTCTCTTGTCATGTGTCTTGAGATTCTCTATCTATGAACCATAACCTTTTCAAAAAGACAAGACTTTCTTGCGGACAATCAAATAGGCAACTTAGGTACTTAACTAGTAGGTTATCTAGGGTTAGTTAAGGAACACTTAGGTATCCATATCATTTTACCATTAGGAATTTGGACATTCCTAATATGGAAAATAGGCCTAATGTGACCTTTATCACCATAATAATGACATACAACTTTAGATGAAATACATTTTCTATTTCTTCTAGTAATGTGAAGGTTTTTCTTAAAAACGACCCCTCTATCCCTTGGGAGTTAGAACTAGTAGAAGATAGTGAATAGCATGTGGTAATTTTCCTTTGCAATTTTTCAATTTCAAGTTTTAAAGTTGGGCATGTAACGCGCTCTATTTTTTCTACCTTCTCAACTAAAGAGTCAAAAACATTAATATGTTCATCAACTAGAGATGTATGTGTTTCTTTTAAGGAATCCAAAGTGCTATTAAGGTTATTAATCTCCTTTTCAAGTTTTAAAATAATTTTATTTTGGAGAGAAATTTTCTTAAAAGCGTTTAGAGAATCTGCATACATGTCATTAAAAGCTTTCGACAATTCTGTATATGAAAGTTCATATACAGTATCAGAAGAGTATACATGTGAGTCTTTAATTTCTTATGTTCCATTAAACATAGGTTAGCATATTATCATGTTTAGTAAGTTTCCCAAATAGCTTTGTGATGTCTAAAGTATTAAGATCGTTAGATTCTTTTATGGGGGTCACCTTCAATTGGCATTCCTTGCACATTGACCTTAATATTTTGTTAGCACAATCTTTGTTAGAAACAGACTTTTCTAAGTTGTTTAGTTAGTTGATTAAGTGGAGGAAATGAGTCTGCATGGATTCAATGAATTCTCCGAGTTCCATACAAAAAAGTTCAAACTCCTATGTTAACATATTGATCTTAGAATCCTTGACGTCTTTAGTTCCCTCATAAAGAGGTTAAAGAGCGTTCCACATAGCTTATGCGCTCTTATGATGTGAAATAGAGTAGAATACTTTTACACTTAAAACTTGGATAACTATTACCTAAACACACAATAACCTAAATTTAAAATGTAAGAGAGAGAGAGAGAGAGAGAGAGAGAGAGAGAGAGAGAGAGAGAGAGAGAGAGAGAGAGAGAGAGATAGAGAGAGTACACTAGGATGTATAGTGGTTCAGCTCTATGATCCTCGCATGAGTCTACTCCACTCTCCAAAATTTTACCATTTAAAGTTGTTCTTCCACTATAGTTTGACAAATATTACACGAGTTCATGTAATCACATAATCCACAATAATATTGAGAAAACATAAATCTCCTATTTGGATCTTGACTTGTATATAGCCTTGATATCAAAATCTCTAGAAAATATTTACTTGATTATTGCTTCTTGAATCTTCTAGCTTCAGCAATATGTCTCGTGTCTTTGTATGTGGCAATCCCCTTAATCCCACTGATTTCTTGAATGGTGAACAATCTTAAGATTTAAAAATAACTCCTACCTTGTCTGTAGGCTTTAACACAACAATATCAAAGTCAATATGGAGAGAAAAACCTCCTTTTTATTAGAATTTTTCACCAGCAGTCACAACTACCACAATCTTGCAAACCTCTATAAAATATTAACATATTCTTTCAAAAAAGTTAGTTCCAAGATAAATTTTCCTCAATAATCACAAATCTTCTCAATCACAAGACTTGAATCCATTAAACAATGAACAAAATATGAAGTTGAAGATGAAAGAATTTCGTTTGCGAGTGATTTTTGAGTTTTTCACAAAACTATGTGTTTCATGGTTATTGAAGAATAAGATGAAAAAAACAATTTATAGGTGTGGGAGATTAAGCATTAAAATAGGTGAAAAATGTTTGTTAGATCGAGTCATAAACATTTATTGATTTGAGTCAACTAAACAAGTAGAATGAAATAAGATCAACATAAAAGAAGTGACTCATTTTCTGTGATTCGATTCAAGTTATAACCATGATTCGAGTCATGAAAGGTCATGATTCGAGCCATGTGTAAACTGTTATTCAAATCAATTTGAATAGAGAGAAATGGGAAAATGTAGAAAGTTGTATGATTCGTATCATATGTAAGTGGTGATTTGGATCAAATTGGGTAGAGGCTAACATGACTTATTTGATTCAAATCATGTGCAACGTGTGATTCAAGTCACATTGTTGCATGATTCAAATTAAGTAAAAAAATTTATTCGAGTCACAAACACAAGAATCCTCCCGTTTTTCTCTATTGAATTTAATTTGAGTTAGGGTTTGTGAGTGATTCGTGAAAACTTAATTTTTCTTGCTTTTCAAAATAACTTTAGATTCCACTTGCCACATAACATGAACCAACATCAAATATGATTATTTTTAAATAAACTCGACCAATTGACTTAAAACATTATGCTTATACTCAAATGCAAACACTTGAGTTATGCATGTTAAAATAGTATTGCATGATTCGAATCAAGTGAAAATTGTGATTCGAGTGACATATAGAAGGGTCCTTTTGTTTTTTCATGTTGGATTTGATCCAAGTTAGGGTTTGTGAGTGATTCGAGTCACGCATATGAAAATTTAATTTTTCAAAATTTTCAAAATAATTTGAGATTCCACTTGCCACATAACATGAACTAACATCAAATATGATTCTTTTTTCATTAACTCAATTGATTGAATTAAAACATAATAATCATACTCAAATGCAAACACTTGAATTATGCATTACTAAAATGAATGGATTTAAAACTTAATTCAAATATGTACAATTGAAGAGGAGACTCAATAATAATAATAACAAAACGAAAACTTAAGAGACAAACAACAAAATTGTATTGGGATTCTCCGCCTTAATGTATTAAAGACATGCAACTTTATGATCACGTAATTTTCTTTTTCAATAATCAAATTGTAAAATCGAATAATGTTCAATGAAAATTCATAAGACACTTCTTCAATTTCTCCTCTTTTCTATATTCCAATACCAGTAGCTAACTTGATTGCATTATGTTATAGACAAAACAAAAAAAAAGTTATCCTCCATAAACTTACATCCCCTTAAAGTTTCAAGTCATAACTAACAAACACTAAAACAAATTAAAACGAATTAGTATTAGAATCATCAGTCTAACAAATTTTCAAATTAAAATTTAACTGAAATTTATATTACACTTAGATATTAGGAAATGGTAGCCTTTAATATTCAAATGTTTAAGAGGTTTGGGCTAGGTCAATAATAAAAAAAGAAACATGCAGCTTTTTTAATAAAAAAGAAACATGCAGCTAAGACCCCCCTGATCATGTAGAACATACCTTAATTAGAAAATTAATATTAGAGTATCCCTAGAAACTTCCCTAACCAACATAAGCTGAATTTAGACAAGATCCATTGTAATAATTAAAGGAATGATTAATAATATAATAGGATTTTAGCTGTAAGTTTATATTTGTGTTTGTCTAAAGAGGCCTAAAAAAGGCAAGGGGGACAAGAAGAGGATTATATGGAAGGTGATAGTGCCAATTTTTTAACTTGCATGTGTGGTCACACTCATTGTTGCATTCATGCAAGACAACCATTCAAATTTTCCACAACCACATGAATTTTTATATAGAATAATTAATGATTAAAGCCCAAAACAAATTGCCAATGAATTGCTCCAAAAGGCCTACATAATGTTAGAAAGAAAAAAACATTACTAATATATTAGGTGGAACCAAAAGAAAATGGACAGCACATATCTTCTCTTGACTTTTATATCTACACAAATAAACCCTTGAAAAATAATTTTTTTCAATTAACTTTTTTATTAAAAAAATATATAATTTTGATGAATGGACTCTTGAATTTCATTTAATTGTTGAAAAATACTTTTAAAAAAAATTATGAATTCAAATATGGATATATAGTATTTATAATAAAAATAAATTTTATTATTATAAAAAATAGAAAATAAGTACAATATTTTATTAAAATTTACTCACATCCCTCTAATTATATAAAATTAAAATAAATTAAAAATATATAAATTTGAACATACCCTATTTGAAATAAGTGAGATCCTTACTAATTAAGACCTTTTTTGGTTGGGTTAAATCAACCTTTCCTAATCATATAAAAGATTGTACACAAATATTGATATAAATTATTGAGGGATACTTGAGAGAAAGTGGGGGGTGGGACAAGATGAATTGAAATAATGAAAGAAAAACAATAAATATGCCGTGATATTAGCTTCATATCAGTAAATACAAATTAAAGAGTTGACAGATGAGGAGAAGAAAATCCATATTTCTGAAAAGAAAATAAATATTGACCTAAAGTTTCCTCCAAAAAAGAAAAAAAATAAAATTGATAATTAGATTCTTCTTGTCCCTTATCCCAATCTTCTATGAAACCGCACTTCAAATGGTGACCATTTCATAAGCCTAAAACCAAAATAATAAAAATAATAAAAATAAAAAAAAAACCCAACAAAACATCATAGAGCCAAAGTAACAGTGATTACCACTATCATTTCACAAAACAAAGTGTTCTTTTTCTTTTGTTGTTGTGATCCACCATACTCATCCAATATTAATGGTAATTGAAATAACTTTGAAATTATAATAATATTAATAATAATAATAATAATAATAATAATAATAATAATAATAATAATAATAATAATAATAATAATAATAATAATAAAATAATAATAATAATATCAGTGAATGTCTATTTGAAAATATTAATTTTAATTAGGTAGTAGCTACTCTTACTCTTACATGCAAAGGGTGGAATAAATTAGTAGTCATGAGAATGATGATGATGATACATGGATGGATTCATAGCTTCCCTTTGATTATTATGATCTTCATCACCAGAATCCAATCTTGAAGTACTCATTTGAGTATTAGCACCAAGGTTAAGATACACCAACCTTGAATCCATGTTACTGTTGTTGTTGTGATGACTATGATGTTCTTCATTCATGTGATTGTACATGTTTGTTCCTGAAGAGCCTGTATTGTTGTTATTTGCATTGTTGTTGTTTCCTTCTTCTCTTGACATGACAAGAGCTGCAGATTGAACAAGCTCCAAGCACAGCCTTAGTTTGTTTGGTTCTATGTGGGTTAATCCAGGGACAGCTCCTTTGAAGAGAAAGTCTGAGGTTAGGGTTCTGAGAATGTCTAAAGGTGTAACACCGTCGACTGTTCTTACATTCGGGTCGGCGTGGTGGTCGAGCAGCACAGCTACCATGTCGGGTGAGACCATTTCGGCCGCAATGTGGAGCGGGGTTTTACCGGTTGGACCAGCCGGGAAATTAACATCAGCTGCACCGAGTTCTAACAAGGCTTTCACTACTTCTCTACTGCAACTCTCAACTGCATAAGGTAATGCTAGTGCTTCGTCGAGGTTGAGTCCTTCTCCCATTACCATGAGTTTAACTAGCTCAACGTCTGAGGAGTCGAGGGCGCGTCTCATCCGACGGATCTTTTGGTCTTCGAGATCTGCTGCTGCGGTGAGATGATCGTGGTGATGGTGAGGGTGGTGGTGGTGGGGGATTAAGGAGCGGCGTGATAGGGATGATTTCATTCGAAGCTCCTCGATTTTTGCAATGATGTCTATAGGAAGGTGTTTCGCTAGCACCTCCGGTGGAAGACCTGATTTCGCCACGAGGTGGGAACATGTTGTCCATAGTTGGTGCATGTCTTGTTTTCTTGATGCAAGTAACACTTTCATTACATCTTCAATGGAAGTTTTTTCCACCATGCTTGCAAGTTGTTTCTGTTGCAACAAAAAAAAACATAGAATGAGATGTTTTAAATTAAATTATAGTGCATTATCTGTTCAGCAACACTTCTGAAAAAATAAGTATGTGTTTGTGTCTCTCTCAATGTCAAGAGTTCAAAAACTAACACTTATGATTCTATTTAATTTATTATTTTTTCAAATTATTATCAATGTCTATTTGTCATGTTATGTTTACCGCTTCATAGCATTATTGTTCATACATAGTGTTTCTCGAGTCTGTGCTTCATAGCATTATTGTTCATGCAAGGGATATTTTTTTTTTTGAGATCTGGGTTTAAGATTAAGAAAACGATGCATAAAATGTTTATATAGTCTGTGTTTCATAGCGTTATTGTTCATAATGTGGTGTTTCTCAAGTCTGGGCTTCATAGCATTATTGTTCATGCAAGGGAATTTTTTTTTGAGATTTGGGTTTAAAATTAAGAAAACTATGCATAAAAGCAAAGAGAACAAAGTGAGTAATTTGTTATCCTCATTTGGAAAATGAAAGAGTTAGACACAAAATAGACCTTTTTTTTCTTTAAGACCAAATGAGGAAAGTGAATGTGTTTGGGAAAGATTTCATGCACTATAGCTAAATCTGTGAAAGACAAGACTAGATTGATTTATGATCTAAATTTAGAAACTCATTCTAGTGGGTGGAAGAACACCAAATCGAGAAAACTGTCATGTCTCTTTTCCTCTAATTTCCAGTACATGATGACATGAAATATTTCAAGGACATCATAAATTAACACAAAATAATATATAAATAAATAAAAACATCTAGTCAAAAAAAGCTAAAATCAAAAGGAATTAATGTGACAGTAGGATTAATGTAAGTGTTTATCTGTCTTTACGGTGAGAATTGAAGCAACAACTGCATGTGAAGAAGAAGATGAGATTTAGACAGGAGAATTAATTAATGAGAAAATAATTAGAACCAAAACAAAAACAAAGCAAAATAAAACAAAAACACAGTTATTTTTTCAGTACTGACATTGAGAAGACATGAGATCAAATAATAGAATCTACTGATCGATGGGATAGATTAGATTAAAAATTATTATAAAAAAAAATTAACAAAAAATTCTTGAACAAACCAGAACCAAAATCTCATTCTTATTCTGTTCTCATCTTGAAAATAAAAGTAATTAATTAATTAAAAAAAAAACTCTTCCCAGTTCCCAAAAACCAGTTATTGTCGAAATTCCCAAGACCCACAAAAAACATATGACTGGTCACACAAATCACAAAAACACAGAAGAATCAAAAGAAGAAAGAGAAATCTTTGATACTGATAGTTTAGTTTAGTCTTCTGTTGTTTCTACTACTAACCAGAGTTATATTTGAATTGGTAAAAATAAGAATAAGAACATAAAAGGATAAAAAGAATAAACCTGAGTGAGCAATGCAAGCTGTTCAACGCCGAAGTATCTCGCGGCGGAGAGAGTGTCAAGAGCGAGATCAACGGCTGACGTACAATGCGTATGCCAACAGCCACGGTCGCCGCAGTTAGGCCTAGGTTCATGTTTCTGAGGAACAATAGAAACTTGACCACTGTAGAGAAACTGAAGCATGAGCAAGAAAACCTCGTAACCGACTGAGTTAACCGGTATGACACCAGACCTCGTTGCTGAGTTGAGTCGGTTGCCGGACGGGTCGAGTCCGGAAGGCGGGTCTGGGCCACAGAAGAATTTTCTGAAGAAGAGACTCCTTGCTGCTAAGATGCATCTGTGGGCGTGGACTAATCGGCCCTCGACGCTGAAAACGACGTCGCTGAAGGCTTGTCCGTTGATTAGGAGGTTTAGGTAATCAAGAGAAAGAGATCTTAGAGAGTCTTCAAGGGACATGGTGTTGTTTTTTTTAGGGTTGTTGTTTTGGTTTGGGTTGAAAAATAATTTTATTGATATGTGATTTTGATGTTACTGTTTGTTTTGTTTTGTTTTTTTTTGATGATGATGGAAAGAAAGATGAAAAGAAAAAGGTTACTGTGATTGTTTGTGAGGGATGCTTATATATGGAGGGGTATACCTGTTGGGATGGGAAATTTGATAGCAGATATTTTGGAGAGAGAGAGAGAGAGTGAAAGAGGATTAGAATTTGGGTGGCTGTTCTGGGCGGCTATGGGGTTTAAAAAAGCTTAAAATAATTCATTAAAACTGATTTTTTTTTTTTTTTGCTTCTGTTCTTTTTTATGTTTTGTTGTCTCTTTGTGTGTAAAAATACAGGTATTGAGTTAAGTTAAAGCTTATAGGATTATATTATGTGGGTATATAATGATGTTTTATGAAGACTACTGTATAACCAATTTGTAGTATTGCATTCTTGCATGCTCGTAATTTTATATTCATATAAAAAAAACGTATTTTCTCTATCTACGTCAAGAAACTTAATTAAATATAATTAATTAATTTTTATTTTATATATAAGGTCAAATTTACTACAATATCTTTAATTATATTTGAAAAAATTTAAATTTAAATTTTTTAAATTAAATTAAAGATATAATAATAATAATAATAAAAGTATTAACTAGTTTAAATAATACTTCTTCCATTTCAAAATAAATTTCGCATATGATAAAACTATTTATCATTAAATAATTGTCACTTTTAATTTTTTCAATTTTTATTTTATGTATAAGATAAAATTTACTACAATATCATTAATTATATTTGGAAAGAAATTAAAATTAAATAATTTTAAATTAAATGAAAGATATAATATTATTATTAATAATAATAATAATAATAATAATAATAATAATAATAATAATAATAATAATAATAATAATAATAATAAAACTATTAATTAATTTAGAAAGTATTTCCTCCATTCTAAAATAAATTCTTTATATAATAAAATTATTTGTCTCTAAATAATTATCACTTTTTATTTTTCAATTTTTATTTTTATTTTCAATTCTATCATCGAATTAATACTCTTAATTTATAATTCTCTTACTTTGTATTTATCATAATTCAAATACACTAATAAATAAAGAAAGTTTAATAAAAATAGTATTAGCTCTTTCATTTATCATATTTTCTTAATTCATATAAAATGATTAAATATGATAATTATTTTGGAACCGAGTAGTAATAATTTTATTTATAATAGTAATTAAAATTTAATTTTTTATTTATAATAGTGTCAGTATATAATTTAATTATTTTAATAAAAATAATTATTATTATCTGTGTTCCTAAATATATAATTTTATAGATTAAATTATGCTAATTAAAAAAGTTAGTTAGAGTATTAAATATATCAATTATTTGTACCATTTTATAAATTTATCATTAAGATAGAGAAGCAATTGATATTTATAAAATTATATTTATTACTTATTAAAAAAAAGATGTGATATAATTAAATATATATTTGAAAAATAATAATTAATATAATTTGAAAGCTGAAAAAAATCTTATAAAAAGCAGAAGAAAAAAATTCAAAAGAGTTATAGAGTTTTATAATTAGAAATGGAGATACTATTTGTTATTGAATTTTTTCGATTTTTTTTTTTTCATTTATCTCTATGTAATAAATTAAATATGTGGTTAAGCATTACTCTTGGGACCTACTGTGTTGACTGCTATGCTATACTAGTACTACGTCGTCAAACATTGACATGATACTTTAGGACCTATTGTGAAAATGTGCAGATTGCAGGGAGGTTAACAGAATTAAAGACGTTTAAAATATAAATATAATTAAGTTTCATAAAGATTGGGTATGCTTGACAAAATAAAAACTTTTAGCTCATATAAATTAAAATATTCTGATTAATAATTATTTTTTAAGTTTTGTTTAGTAAAATAACTTATAATTAATAATTTATAGCTAATAATTATTAATAAGAAATATTTTATAATTGATAGTTAGTTACTGATAAGTTAATTGAAATATTTGATAAAATAATAATTTTAATAACTAATAAATGTAAAATAACATAAAAAATTATTCTTTAATTAATAATTTAGTGATTTTATTATATTTTATATATTATTGTTATTAAATTAATTTTATTTTTAATTAAACAAAATAATAAACACATGTAAATAATATTTTAAATATATCTAATATTAAATAAATATAAAAATGTATTAAATGCATATATGTAAATTTTATCAGCTAAAAATATATGATAGGCAAACAATATAGGATAGAGAAGGAGTAAGTAACAATAAAGAGCGATGTTGGAATAGTCATACAAAAAGAATCTAAGAATGTGTAATAGAAAAAATCGAGAAAAAGAATTAATAAAAAATTTCAAATAAAAAATCATATCTTTTTAATATAAAATTTAATTTCTTTTATTCATGAATTTAAAATATAATTATTTTATTTTAAATTATAATAAATTATAAAGTGTAAAAAGGAGTTTTTATTAAATAATTAAAATAAAAATATAAGAAAATTTATAAATTATAAGCTTAAAAAATTCTTCAAAATAGCTTTTGAAAAAAAGTCATAAATTAGAGGGGAAAAACTACTTTGTTAATGATTTGAACTAAAAAGTTAAAAACTAAAATCTACATTTTTTATTTATTTTTGAAATATCAATAATTTATTTACGATAATATATAAATGTAAATTACAATGTCATCGAAGGTTAAACCTTATATCAAAAGATTAATATTTTTTAATTCAACTAATACATATTAATTGAGCTATCTCACTTATTCAATTATCTTTTTCTATCGATTTAATTATTTTTTTCAATGAGTCGATAGAAAAAAAATAGTTTTGAATATGTTGTGTTTAGAAATTAAGTATTCTGTCTTGTATTTTTTTTTTATTAATAATGGATGATGTTTGTGCGAGTTATTTTCCAAACTTCAACATCATTACACTACTACGAATAATATATTTTATATCAAAATATTCACTTCAGTTCATAAAAAATGAGGTATAAATTATAGGCGCGTCACATATTAATTTTTTTTTAAAAATAATATCACTTACTCCCTCTATTAAGTTGGAAGTCGAGGAAAATGGTATGAAAGGACATGTCTTTGAATCTCAGCAACTGCATTTTAATACGTTTTAATTTTAAATTTTTTTTTTTATTATCTGTTACCTCGGTTGAGCTGGCCACTGAGGAGTAAAGTATTTAAAAGACACGCCTTCGAATATCAACAACTATATTGTAGCACCTTTTAATTTATTTTTTTAAATTTTTTTATAACTTATTATCTCAGTTGAACTTGAAATCGATGGGGTAAAGTAGTGTATTTTATTTTATTTTTTATTTTGTATTTATGATTAATTTATTCAAAAACTAAGTGATGGATCTTTGTCGTTTATTTATAAAATAACAATGGTCAAGACATTGTCAATTCATCAATCCAAACGAAATATTAGGGATCTGCATGGAACTCTCACCAACCAATTGGAACGTGAATGTCACAACTATCCATCTTAGATGCAAAGTGTTGAAATGTAAATCTAACATAATGAAAATAATGATAAAGTGTTCTAAATTATGATGATTCAATAACAGTAAAATGTTTCAAGATTGACTTTTAATGATATCTCTTATCTAATAATTCCATGTTAAAAAATTTTAATGTTAGTTATGAAAGTATTAAATAACTTATTAATGTTAATTGTTGTTGTATCAAGTAAAATGTTTAATATTATTTTTGTTGTTGTTGTTGTGAATTAATGTTTAACGATTCTATTAATTTTATTTATTTGTTGTTGAGATTTAATGTTTAAAGATTTTATTGATTTTATTGATGATGTTGTTGTTGAGATTTAATGTTTAAGAATTATATTGATTTTTGTTGTTGTTGTTGATGATGATGATGAGAAAGATTTAGAATTTGTCAATAAATTTGATGTTTTGTGGATTAAAAAGAAGAAGAAAAATAGGTTAAAACTAAAATTTTATAAATAGGACTTTACCCCTCAGGTATTTTTTATTTTTTATTTTTTGATAAGCTTGCCCCTGGGGTATTAATTACAATCAAGGGGTAAAGTGGCACATTTTCAAAATCCACAAAATATTGTTACTGGGGACTGAACTCATAAATAAATCCACTTTTTAAGCGAAGATGATGTCGACAAGTACAACACGTTTGCAGATATTGCCAAGAGTTTGTGGAGAAGTTTGAAGCTGTTTAATTCAATGTGGGTTAAAAACAATGAATCATGGGTGACACATAGACGAGCTAGAAGGAGTCTGAAGATTAGAAGTGGGGTGAAACGTAGCACTTTTTTAGGGGTGAGAATCTTCGTCGATGGTTATTTGTAAATAAAATAAATAACTGACACATACATTGTAATAAAGCTCGCAAAATTTCATACATTCTCTCCATACAACTAGAGTACCCGAGTCAGAAAAATGGTTCGCGAGAATCATGTATGTGTCTGCGTCCAATCTTTTCATTATTTTTTTGTTTTCTTAAATGAAACATTTACTTTTTCTATCTTTTTGTCACCGTTGTTTAATCTCACTTATTGCACTTTATCTTCTTATCATTCATCAAATCTTGTCTTCATTTACACTTTGTATTTATGATGTTGTCGTACGAACGACTGTATTCAATTTACATGCATTTATTTTCATACAAATCCTTTGAACAAATTGCTTTGAGGATTTTTCGAGTTAATCTCACTAGCTTTTCAAACTCATAATTGTTTATTAAAAACACCGGTAAATAAATTGGCACACCCGGTGGGACCCTTTTATATAAAGATTTCTAAACATTTTTGAAGAAAAAAAGGAGTCTTTTGTTATTTTGAACAGTTTCTAAAAACATAAAATCATTATGAGTTTTTAGAGTTTAATTTTTTTAGGAGTGGTAAACAACATCCTGAAATGTCTAGTAGAAATCAACCC